TTTCTTGACCTTCTATAATATTCTAACTCTTCCGTCATACCAGTCAATTTAAATTTCTTAAATTTGTGATGCTTTTCTTTAATTTTATCTCTTTTTAGCCAACCTGGTTTTTTACTTGCAGCCACCCTTTTCTATTTTATAAGGAATATGTTTATCTTGAATATTTAAAAATTTTCTACATTTGATCAGTGTCTCCAAGTAACTCAGCTGACCAATTCACAACAGATAGTTCTTGTTACATCCCTTCAAAATTTGTAATGAAAATATCATTATTCCTGATCCCCATATGCAGCAAAACATCAAACATAATAGAACAATGATCAATTGCACCCAGATGTTCCCAATTTCTACCCTCTCAAGCATTTCTATATTAGAATTTAACACTAAATCTAAAATAGCATTGTTTCTAGTAAGTTCCTTCACCAATTGGTAACAAAAACCATCTTGAACAACTTCCAAAAACCTCTCTCTAATGGTTTGACCCTTAACATATCCCAATCTATATGCCTGAAATTAAAATCACCAATAATTATTACCTCATTAACAGCTCTAGTCTTAAACTCACTAAAATTTCTCATTAATTCCATCAGTATCATCTGGTGGTCTGTAATAAATTCCAAGTGAAAAGTATTTTCCCTTTATATATCCACCAATAAAAATCCAAATGGATTCAACCACCTTGCTATTATCTTTGATATCCTCAACTTTAACAGGACTAAAGTAACATAGATGTCACTGGTCAACTGGAAGATTAGAGGAAAGAGGCTAGAAGTATGGAAATACAGCAAGTGTGAAAATACTTTGAAAGGACGAATACCATTTTAATCAAGTTGAAATGGGCATTATTACCAAAACCTTGAACAAAATTCCTCAAACTTGTATTACTACAAGTAATGATATTAAAATTCATATCATTTATAGTTGGTAACTACTGTTTGAAAATAGAAATAATTACCAAATAATAATAAACAGATACACAATAATTAATAATAATGACAGTGGTTGCTACCATTCGGTGGTTCGGAATTAGGGATGGTGTAACGCTACCCAGGTTGTACACTGACAAACATGCTACAACAGGACACCACAATGGGAGGGAGGAGAGCCTGTGTTTTAGCTCGTACTAAACTCCTCTACCATGTAAATAAGCAATGAAATTATTCATTAATGGCAATATTGTTGTGTGTTGACCTGTTACATGTTCTTTAAAAAACCCAAATTTGAAAATGGAAGCTTGTAGAAAAAAAGTTTGTCTATCTGCTGAGCATCGAACCCCAGATTTTAGTGTAATAAGTCCATAAACTTACCACTGACCCACTGGCAGACATTATACAAAGTAATTTTCTAGAAAATGAAAACCTCTTAACTTATTTTCAACTTCCTTACCAGTATTACTAAACAGTATATTCACCTCAATTTCCTTCATATTTTATGATACAGCTCCTCACAGTCAAATTATTTCCCTCATTATTATCTAATCTTAGTTTAAACAGTCCCTAATAAAATTATTCAGAACTTCTCCAAACACTTATTTAGATAAAGTTCGTAAGATACAAGCATCTCTTTCTTACTCACAAATCTACCATACCAATTTATCCAGATATACCTCTAATAATTGTTTGATTTTTACAACCTGATTAAATGTTTTTGAGAAAAATTGACAAGTGAAAAAACTACTGATAGTGTTCATTGATTTCTATCCTTAAAGCTCTTTGTATCAGGTTAACGCCTTCTCAGATCTGCCATGACTAACATCTTTAGTTTTGGTAACATCACTTCTTAAGTTACTTTTTCCTCTCATTTTAAATATGGTTTCTACAAAAGACCTTAAAATCTTTTAAAATAACATCTTCAATATTTCCATTAATACAAGGCTTAGCTATACTAATAACATCAACTATGTTAATTCCCACCAAAGTTTCTGATTTTATTAACTTATCGTACAGTTCTAGAGAAAATATAAAAGAAACTCAATTTTTTTTTCAACTTTCTGACCAGTTTAAAGAACTAATATTGATATGATCCACACCCAAAGGTGAGAGTTTCTCTAATCTTCATTTAAACTTGATATGTTTATTGATATGTTAATATTGTTGAAATTTCCTATGGATTGCTTCTGTCTGATTTGGAGATAACACTTAGAGCTCCAGGTTAAGTCCTACAATGAATCTGAAACAACCTCAAGAGGTATAGGAAACTAACAGTTCTTAGTAGGGTTGCCACCTGTCATGCATTTATTGGAACCAATCTTTATTAAGTAGTAAAATGTAACATTCTGTTCCTGATAAAAACAAAATGAGAGTTTTCCCTTAGTTTGTCAAGGCTGCATCACCATTTTTTTTTAAACCTTGGTTTCTTCCAGTGATACACTTCAACTAAAATTCTGAGAATTATCAAACACTGCTAAAAGTGTTCCTTATTTTACCTATGGTGCATAACTGTTTTAAACCTTGGTTTCCTTCAATGTTATGATTTCACAAAAATCTGGAATATTATCAAATAGCAGCTATAGTTCCTAATAATATTTCCAGGATATTGAACTTGTCATAACAACAGAAACATAAACATTCCTTCAATCATAAAATACCTCTATAGCAGTAGTGTTCAAAGAATCTTCCAAAATAACAGTTAAAGATGCCTTAATGATCTCATAGAAACCTCAACAGGGAAACAGCTTATTTCATTAATGGTATTTGAGCATGATACAGAGATGGTATCACTATCAACAACGAGCACAAAATGCCCATTGTCATAATTTATACATAATAGCAACTAAAAATAAATATTCAAGTTAATGTACTGAAAATATTTAATAGAATGAAATAATTCACAAGCACATCACAAATGGCTCCCATACTGATGGGATTAAACCTGTGAACAGTCTTATTTTATGTTGTATGAATCTAGTTGTACCCTCTCTCTATCTTTTGCATATCTGTATCACATATAATTAGAATGATAGTCTTTTATATAATTTAAAAGTGGTAACATTTTGCATAACTATCAATCCACTTTTATAATCACAAGATTCACAAACATGTATGTGTCACCTCTATCCACACTGATTTAGTCAAAATAAAACATATCACCACATATGAAATGAGTCAATACATTTTTATCCACACTACTTTATTACTTATTTGACTGTTTTTGATAATAAGTATTAAATACACTTTCCACATGTTCTAGTGGTAGTATCTGGGACAACTGACCTCTTCTAATAGCAGTTCTAATACACATTGTTTTAAATACATACTTACTGTATGTTCTCCCTAGCTTAAACAATATTTAAGAAATTTGTAGTATTAATAACTCTCCATGAATTAGATTTTGTGATTGTAATTGAGAATTGTAGCTAAAAATTATAAAACGAAAAAACATTTTCTGAATATAAGTTTTCTCACTGTAGAATCAAACAATGGAATGTAAAAAAGTGATTAGATTAATATTAAAGATCAGCACTGAAGAAGTGTGCAAGTTTTTTTTAAATTAATAAGTTAAAACGTTTAGTGGTCTCCACACCTTTGTAAAATACAAATTCTGTATTTATATAAAATTTCTCTGCCTTTTTTCATGAAATTGACACTTATCATTTTTTGTATAAGTATAGTATAAGCCTAACTTTTTAACTAGGGTATCAATTCTATTCGTTTTTATCAATCAAAATGAAATATTACAGGAGCTGCAATTTAATTTTTTTCTAAACTTTAAAAACTTAATATTATCACTTTAACGTATTAGCTACATAAATAATATTAAATAATTTTATTATATTAATAACTAAACTACGTCTTGTTTCAATCATACCAACAATTGCAGAAAAGTCGCAATGAAACATTTTTTCCGCATAACAAAAAGTTGTGCTAAACCTTTCCTACGATACCCAGTGAGACCCATACAGTTCCACCAAAACCAAAAAGTAACACCGGTCCAAGGCTTTATTAAAGACGGCGCTATCGTCCGTACACTTCGTAGGGTTCGTGCAGAACGTGTTTTTTTACCCATTACCACATACGTCATACGAAACAAAATAAATTTCCCTATATAACTATTGCATTTTATGTTATAACAATTTAAGTTTGCTAATTTGATACCTCCTGTTTGGTGGGATCTCTTTGTAACGCATATGTCTAATTCACTATCCAAAGGCCTTTTCCTTGTATCACTTATATCTGAATCCCGACACCCATTCACTCCTATACTCGTCGCCATCTTCTGCTCGAAACGTCGATCTTCTGACGTCAAATATGACGTCACCAATGTAGAAAGATCATTCTCATAAAATAATGTTTAATATAGTATGAATTAAAAATAGTTTAATTGATGTTATAAGTGAATTTTGATTGCAAGATGCCCATCTCTGATCTAACAAACTTACAGTTGTTGTAAGTTACCTGATTGCCAAGCGATCCTTCTCCCTGGGAGCATTGGAAGACCAGATACTGACGAAACCTTCTCTTATTTAGTCATTTCCTGCTGAATGGCGACACGTGGGCTCCTGGGATCTTTAACTGATTGGCTAGAACCACGTGAAACATAAACTATAAAAAATTGTACTAATCAGTCATTTTTGCTCCATTTAAGTTTATATTAAAATGTAAAATGATCTAAATGCTAATAAGATTCATTTGAATTGTACTATTATCGTGAAAACGCCAAAGAAACAACATTTCAAATGATTTTCTAATATAACAACAACTGGAAAATGACACGTGCTCCAGATTTGACTCGTGCTCGCTCAAATGCAAACGTAATATTGCTGATGTTTTCTATAGAATTTTGAAGTTGAAATTAAGTTGTTCTGCAGAGATTGAATAAAATATACAGTCAGAAATTTTAAAAACAATAAAAGGGCTTTGAATAATCAGAATGTATAAAATACATATATAACTAATATTGCATACATACATACACACACACACATATATATATATATATACTGTTGCGTCAGCGAGGTCACGTGACTAGTATCACGCTACCCATTTCTAGAAATATCCTGTTCCTTCAAGAATGCCCTAGCATTTACTAGATATGTGTTAGTCTTGTATATATAAGACGTTCACAACAGAGGTAATGAGTAATTGAACTGCAGTCAATGAGAATATTGTTAAGCACGTGAGAAGTTCGTTGAGAATTATAGCGTTTGTTACAGAGCGACTGTTGAACTTAAGTGTATCGTAAAGTTGTATTCGGAAAGAATAAACCAGTTTTATTTAAGAAAGGACTTGTGTCGCTAAAGTTTCGTCGGAACGAATTTACGGAAAATTAACTAAAGAACTGAGACGTAACAATATATATATCCGTCTCTTAAAATTCATAAGTTAAAATACCAAATGAAATTATGTACATATTAGGAGCTTATTCAAGATAATTACAAATGGCGGCGTCTATTGAGCAACAATAAAATTAGTTATTTTAATAAGCCTAAGAAACTTATAAGGCTTTCCATATTAATTATAGCTTAATATATAAATAAATAAAACCAGCAAGTTTGAATAAAGACTTAGTAAAGATTAAAAATTCATTGATGCACTTTTTATTATATGTGCTACTGTAGCATAATTGTATCAAAAGTTCCCTAAAGATGGTGCTGTGTGTTCATTTCAAATTGTGCTTTACAACCAGTTCGCAAGAAAAGGCACCCATGTTTGTCTGATTTTAAAAAGTATGATTAATTGCAAGTTACATCTTCTTTTTCCTACATTTGCCAATTAAGAATAAGTATATAATAATATACATTTCATGCGGCTAAATCAACTTTGAAATTAAAAATCAAATACGTTGTTGCCAAATTATGGCAATGTTAGCATTGTTTGCAGAAGCACACACACACAAAAGGCAACAGGATTAGTCATGGTTTTTTTCTTCTATACATATATGTATTCACGTATTTTGATCAAAAGTGTATTATGAGTTTAAGGAATGGATGTAGGGCATGTAAAAGAAAATGCGAGCAATGTGGGAACCCCATAACCATTAATGTATAAATGCATGGTACCAGTTCCCTAGCTTGGTGTCGTAACAACTAGGGAGATTGATTTGGCTAGCATAACTGACATTTCGAGCTTTTAAGATACAGTTGAATGTGTACTTGGAGGGTCTATAGGTATCCAAAACGTTATGCGAAATATATTGGTCTTTATGAAGAGGATATCAAATCGTTTTTGATAGTAATGTTGCTGATAAGTCCTACCAACGTTCAGTTGAGCAGATGCTCATGCAATTAGAAGCAAATAAATCACTCACATGAGTACGAACATCCATCAGTTTCAGAGGTAAAAACATATGTAAACCAACCATTTGCTAAACTGAATAACTATCTTTAACTACTTGTCAATTTTTGTAAGTGATATAGCACATAATTGGAACAGTAATATGCATCCAAACATATTGCCAAATGAAGATTGCGCTATTAATAACACAATTTATCAACATCAATGGTTAAACATCGAGTATACAAGGATGCTCTATTTCAACGTTTCACAGAGCTGTCAGGAAACTCTGCCATTTCAGTGGGTACTAACTTGGTTGAAAGCACATCCACCTGATACTGAAAAACCGTTACCAATAGATTAGAAAATTCGGTTAAATGTCTCATTGCCATCTAACGTTCCTAAGACAACTGGTAAATTCTGTACCGTGGAAGTATAATGCATATTCCGTTTATTTATTTGTCTCTTTGTTATGGAACTCCAGTAGTTAATGAAGCCCCCATAAATTTTGGTATTAAACACATAATTTGTCATTTTTTGGTTACACTAACATACATATGCACGTTTTGAAGTCAAAACAACATTTTCTACCTTGTTATATTCAAATATACGAAAACCTATTTTTACTTCTCTACCTAATACCCTCTGGTCATGGATAAAAATCTGGAAAAGGAATGGTCACCTTGGCAGAGGTCCCACGTTTGGATAACGTTATTGTTGCGTCAGCGAGGTCACGTGACTAGTGTCACTCCCCCTGCTTTCTGGAAATATCTTGTACCTTCGTGAATTGTCGGGAGATTACTAGATATAGGGTAGTCTGGTATATATATAAGAGGGTGACGGCGTGACGCAATAATGTGTGTGTAGGTAATGAGTAATTGAACTGCAGTCAGAGAGAGGCGTATTGTTAAAGTTAACGTCGTTATTATAGTTTGTTATAGCGCGTCTGTTGAAAATAAGTGTATCGTAAAGTTGTATTCGGAAAGAATAAACCAGTTTTATTTAAGAGAGGACTTGTGTCGCTAAAGTTTCGTCCGAACGAATTTACGGAAAATCAATTAACAAACGGAGACGTAACATTATCTACATGGTCGCAAGGCGAATTATAAATTCTTTTAATGAATTCTTCATATCTTATAAAGATCTGCAATCGATATAAATGACATAGACTCAAATATAATAGTGCAATTAATAAAAAGAAAACTCTACAAATCATAAAGTCTATAAACAGAAAAATATTTAAATATTTATTTAAATAATCTTCCAATCAATTATTTTCCCCTCGCCCGCAAGAGTCAACAAAGCATTGTTTATCATAAATATATTTTTAAATTTTGGTGGATTTGGTTGTAGAAAATAATGTGTTGGGTATCGTCCAATCGATTAATTTGGAATAAAATCCTAGCTAGAAATAATTTTTACAGTAAATATGAGTTATGTTTATTTTATTTTCTACTTAAACAAGCCCAGATTTAAGAATTAGGTATAAACAGTAACTTTACAGAAAGATAGGATCCCGTTCTTCTTTTATGTTAAAGCTACAAGACAGTTAAGTTTTAAAATTGATATATGTTTGAAAAAACTAATATGTAAAAATCCATACTGAGATTGGCATAGCTTGGTGGATAGGGCACTCGACTCACAATCTGTGGGTCGCGGGATCGAATTTAGTACCGAACATGCTCGCCTTTACAGCCTTAGGGACGATATAATGTGACGTTTAATCCCACTATCGATAAGAAAAGAGTAGCCCAAGAGTTTGCTGTGGGTGTTGTTGACTAGCTGCCTTCCTTCTAGTCTATCACTCCAAAATTAGAGATGCTATCTCAGATAGCCATCGCGTAAGTAGCTTTGTGGGAAATTTAACAAACAGACAATACGTATTTAAAACTTATCCTAAAATATGGATTGTATTCAGCTGCTGATTGTTAAACTTGCCTATGTAAAAATCTGTCTTTATACAAGTTGTAGGGGAGACCGGGGCTAGTTATTACGGTTTTTAGAAAAAGTCCAATATCTAGCGAAATAACCCGAATCATACATTGAAACTGAATGAAAGTGAAAGATAAATAAGTACTTTATCAAAATTATGTATTCAAAATTGGTTACATAAAAGATTTTGTAAATATTGTTACGCCTCCAGTCGTTAATTAATTTTCCGTAACTTCGTTCCCACGAAACCTTAGCGACA